GGAGACGGCCTTTGTGCGTAGAAAGTTAATTTTATTCCAATGAAAATCTGGGCGTCTGGACGATCGGGGCGGGGGAGGGGTGCATGCTCCCTGTCCCCTCCCCTGTATCCAGTTCACCAGTGTTTCTGTATGCCGGGGAGCCATGTCCCTGTCCTCCGGGGAGCCGCGTCCCTGTCCGCCGGGGAACCGCGTCCCTGTCCGCCTGGTAGCCGCGTCCCCGTCCGCCGGGGAGCTGTGTCCCTGCCCGCTGGGGAGCTGTGTCCCTGTCCGCCGGGGAACAGCGTCCCCGTCCGCCGGGGAGCTGTGTCCCTGTCCGCTGGGGAGCTGTGTCCCCGTCTGCCGGAGAGCTGTGTCCCCGTCTGCCGGGGAGCTGTGTCCCTGTCTGCCGGGGAGCTGTGTCCCTGTCCGCTGGGGAGCTGTGTCCCTGTCCGCTGGGGAGCTGTGTCCCCGTCCGCCGGGGAGCTGTGTCCCCGCCCGCCGGGGAGCTGTGTCCCTGTCCGCCGGAGAGCTGTGTCCCTGTCTGCCGGGGAGCTGTGTCCCCGTCCGCCGGGGAGCTGTGTCCCTGTCCGCCGGAGAGCTGTGTCCCTGTCCGCCGGAGAGCTGCGTCCTCGTCTGCCGGGAAGCTGTGTCCCTGTCCGCCGGAGAGCTGTGTCCCCGTCTGCCGGGGAGCTGTGTTCCTGTCCGCCGGGGAGCTGTGTCCCTGTCCGCCGGAGAGCTGTGTCCCTGTCCGCCGGGGAGCTGTGTCCCCGTCCGCCTGGCGTGAAGCCCGTCCCTGTCAGTGGGATCAGGCGTGGGCGGACGCGTCAGCCATCCATTCAGCTCGTTGCGGCCCATCAAAGCGAGCGCGGGCCGCCCAGCTGTCCCGTACAGTCACGGCCCCCGTCTGCCGCGGCAGCGCGCCGGCTTCCCGCGGTCTTGCAGCGCGCCGCTTACGCCGCCGGGCCGCACCATGCGGACCGACTGGCCGCCGCCGCCCGCCCCAAGCCGACCTCGGTCAGGCTGACCTCGTGCCAGGCTGACCTCAGTGCCAGGCTGACCCCGCCACTCGCAGCCGGCAGCCGGCCGGGGCGCACCGGCCCTGGCGCAGCGAGCTCGTGACGGGAGCCCCTCTGGGAACAACGGACCTCCCTCGGGGAACCCCCGACCTCCTGGATCTGTTGCGCGGCCATCAACGGCGGCTGTGTGCACATCTGCATTGTCATGCATTGTAGATGACGCGAGCAGCCAGGCAGAGCAGGGCGGCCTTGTACAGATTGGCTGTTGATCCATCATGTGAGCTACACTCACAAAGTCAGACCCGCCAACAGTCATAATTACCATTGTTTAATCTAGTGGAAACCAAGGTGCCGCCGACGTCAGGTTGCGGTCTAGCAAAATGACAAAAAATGGCTGTGGAAAGGGTGAAATGGCAATATGTAGTGAGCCTAGATCGAGCTTGAAAAATACATGTGCACGTTTCTTAACTGGCATTTATACGCCAATCAACTGCTTGATCGAAGCTGAGCCTGCACACCCTTCACGTGGTCTCCAAAGCCGCTTAAGCGGTGGCTTGCATCACTCAGTCTTCTCGGCAGCTTTACGGGTCGGACATTGCGCCGACTTTGTAGGTAGAACCGGCGACGTAAAACGACCCAGGCGTTTGCACAGCCACTGCTGGCGACGTCTTCTGCACTGTCACCGACGCGCGGCGAGTGGTGGACACAGCCACACGCGTTTCAGGCTGCGTCCAAATATGTAACGACTGCATCAGGTTTATCGCCATGGATTTTGCAGTCCTGTCGCTTTTTTACTATCTCTGAGATGAAAAACTGATTCATGCTCAGCCGGATTAAATGTCACCTTAATATGCTTAGTGACTTACGACACCTCAGCACGTGTAGCTGCTACTTCGGGACTGCAAGACTGAAAACAAACCACCGTTCAGTCATGAAGCAGTAGCGTCCGGGCCTCACAAAAAGTAGAATGTATTCACGATGGCCTGGGGCCCAATAGTAGGCCATTGTTGCCTCCAACAATACAACGGTAACGCACCGATGCGTTTGGCCCAAATGACGCACAAGTCTCCGGTACAAGCTTTTTGACACCATGCCGCTGTCCGACAAAGTTGTCAGTGGAAGCGTTCCGCAAGCGCGGTGTCAGTGAACAGCAGGCGCGTGCATGTCTCATAATCATGGCCACGGTGTCAGACCGTACCGTGCTAGGCTGTTCGCGACCGGTTTCACAAGACATAAAACGATTGATTCGTAGAGACGATTGCTGACCAGGGGACGCAGTGCTGTCGAAGGTGGTATAATGTTCGACAGATTGCCTAACCTTCCCAAAGTTGCGAGTCCTTTTCGGTTTTCCATTGAAATGCAGTTGATAGAATAAGTGCCGTCAAGTGCTTTGCTCCTCTTTATCATGGTCCGGTGCAAAGATAGTTCCGGGTTATGCAAGGTGATCAACAACTTTCAATGGCGGGTCCAGGAACCATTAAATTTCTCACGGTCTCAAGTGTCGATGTATGCATAGGCGGTGTGAAATGCCCGGCAAGATTTCAAAATCTAGCAGGACCGTATTGAGGCCCAGTCATGATTGTCGATGCCGCTTTACAGGATGCTAAAATCCCACAGGGCTGTCCTACAGGATTCCGAAGTCTGAAGGACCGTAAAGGGTTTTTTCCACACAAACTGTGGATTGCCTCTAAGGGGCGATGTTTTTGAATGAACATACATCGACACGCTTACGCAAGAATCACATCACGTATTTGTTTTTTTTTTTTGCTCCTCGTTCCTCCTCTCCGATTACGCACTGTTTGCACCAAACGAAACCTCTATCCCCGGTTACGCTGAGTCCAGTGAAAGTCTCACCATAACGTCTCAAAGAATTTACGTCCACTCGGTCCTTCATTGAGCTAGAGATGTGACAAATAACGGGCAAGTTGCTTGTCACGGTAGGAAGCCAAAGCGGCGCGGAACTTAAACGCCTTGAAACATATTTTCTCAATTATTTCAGCATCGTTTACGACACCTAATCGCGACGGTACGTTGTCCAAACCTGCCTTGGTGCGGCTCGGTTACGCTCCGCCTACCTCTTACCATCTCCGCGCAACGTAATCTGTGGTCAAACTCTGAATAGCTATCGCTTTTCAACGCCCTTATTTCAAAATTCTATAAATCAGATTGCATGAGAGGATGACGGTCGGCACCCAACCAGCCGTCAGCACAATGCGTGCCCGCAGCGGATATAGATGGAGCGCCTCACAAATTTAGCTGATGGGATAAGTGACACCACAGCCATCTTGGCTCCGTCTTCTTGTGGCCTGCTAATTTTGATACTTTGCGATCGAAAACTGTACACTGAGGACAACCAGGCCATTCTGTGGTTCTGTCGACCGTTGAAACACGTACACGTCACGCCCGTCCGTCATAAGAAGGCCACAGCTCGTCTATTCAGCTCATCACATACGGGTTGAGTACATCGGGGTGTTCCCGCAAGCGCAACAGAGGCTCACATGTGTGCTGCATGCCTTACTCTGAAAGGAAAACGCAACGTCATGATAAAACCGTGGCGTGCACATACACTTCCCATGCAGAGCGTGTCGTCTTTAACAATATAAAACAACAACGACGCCAAGCGGCCATCCATTCGGGGAAGCTTAAGTACATGTACACAAGCGCAACTAAGCAACCGAGCCGGCCGTTTTCACGCAGACCCGCCAAGCCCCGGGGAGATTGCGCGACACTCTCGGAGGCACGGTCGCGACCCTTTCGGCCGGTGACGTCACGTGACTACCACGTGACGCACAGTCCCCCAGTCCCGACGGACGCTCGTCACTGCCCAGCGGTGTCCGCCTCCGACGGTCGACCATCGTCATTCGCAGACATCTCGTCCGGGCGTTCAAACGTCCCGCTCCGGACGTACAGTCCTGTCAGCGCGACACCCCTCCGCCACGCCGTCCAGTCCCGGTGATCAAGCCTCGCTCTCCATCGACGTAGAGGGCGTGGCCGGCTTGTGTTGCACGTTGGGGCTCTCCTCGGGGCTAAAGGCCGCGTTGTCGCGCCCATGCGTCGGTGGGACCCTCACACCGGTCGGCGTGTGGATGACCGGCACCGTCGGCAGCCCGTGCCTCTCACTGAGCGCGTTCAGCACCTTGGCGACGGCGCGCACCTCGGCGAGCAGGACCCCCAACGCCGACTGCGCCACCTCCATCTGCGACTCCAGCGCCTGCAGCTTTCCGTCTCGGATCATGTCCTCGGTGACGGCGAGACCGTCTCGCTCGTGCGGCCCGCCGCCCTGGACCGGCTGGTTCACGTCCGACTCGCACGACACGGTGGAAATCTGGCGGCGGAATTTCGCGTGACGGAGTGCCTGCTTGTTGCGCGTCTCGGCCACGCGGCAGGCCGCGTTCATGATGTCGCGCGTCAAACGTCGATCGTTGGGATCATTCGGACGAAGGACCATCGTGTACCGATAGGAGGACGGCGAGACGAGGGCCATCTCGGCGATCCAGGACAGCAACTTGTTGGGCAGTAGGCGTGCGATCACATTGGAAAAGAGCGTACCTTCGATGTGGGATATCTGTTCGGTGAGACGCACCAGCCGGCCGAGCTTAGCTGTTCTCTGTAGGCCCTGAATGTCACTGACGGCTAGGCCGACTAGCAGATTCATGAGAATGATGGTCATCACCAAGATAAAGGCAGTGTAAACCAGTGAGGCGGTAGGATTCAGGATCGAGTCCCTGTTGCCCTCCGAGTAAAACATGTCGTCGAACTCGAGCTCACCGGTCATCATAACCAGAATCTTAAGAACAGCCCTCAGAGGGTCTGACAGCGGGTCGTATCGCTGGAACAGGACAACGAATGCCACCGCACATCCGATCGCCAGCGAACAGTACGCCAGCAAGAACTGGAAGAATTCCTTGAGCACCTTGGAGAACATGTGGATGTAGAGGCCGAGCCGAGGAAGCCGACCGACCAGCATCATTAACTCGAACCAGCAGGTGAGGACGGCGAGAGCGCTCAAATGTTTTGCCAGAGAGCTATGTCCCCGAAAATTGGCGTTCCGATCAGCAGCAGAAAGAACATGAGCGCCCACTCGGCCAGGTTCTCTGGATTGCGGAAGTACTGCGGAGGATCCTGAACGAGCTGAAAAATCTCCTTGAAAACTAATGTCACATCGAAGACCACGAGCAAGTACCACAGGCCCGTGTAGAACGAAGGCTTTTGCACAGCCAGCAGTTGAAAACTGGACTTGGCACAGTCACACAAATCCAGCCTCGTTGGGGCATTGGTTTTGTTTGCGGAGCACGTCAGTTGAATGGGCGGCGGATCAGAACCATGGCACTTCGCATGCAGAGTCACCAGCCCTTCCGACGAGATTCCTGAGCACAGTCCCAGTTGCAACCCTCGACCTACGTTAAAGCAGTCACCGTGACAGGTGCCAAGGACATACGCACTCAGCAAAATACAAAACACCAGGTAATAAAACACGTTGAAGAACAGAAATTTGCGCACTTTCATCCATTTCATATGCAGGAAGCTTTCGCACAGCGGATGTTTGAGCAGGTGTTTCTGATCAATGTCGATCAGCGCCTTCAGAAAGTGGCATTCACCCTTTGCCTGAGACATCAGCGGATTAAAAGAAATCTTCAGCTCCGCAAACTTGTTGTTGGGTATGTTATCGCGCTCGTAGAAGAGGATGGACCTGCTGAAGCGGTCGGGCAGATTGGTCAGCACGGACGGGGTGCGGTGTTTGATCAGCTGCAGGCAGGACACACCGCCCCGGTTGCGCAAGGTTACGTCACCGCCATGGTCCATTAGCAACTCCACGCAGCTGGAGAACTCGTTTATCGCTGCCAAGTGAAGGGGCGTGTAGCCGGCGATGTCGCCCTCATTGATGAGGGCGCCGTTGTTGACAAGGACCTTGATGGTGTCCAGCGAGCGGCACTGCTTGCCGATGGAGCAGTGCAGCGGCGTGCGCAGGTCGTTGTCTCTGGCGTTGATGTCTGCGTCCCAGGAGAGCAGCAGCTCGATCAGTTCGACGGACTGCGCCCTGGCCGCCAGGTGGAGAGCCGTCTGGCCGCGGCTCGTCTTCAGGTCGATCCGCGCGCCGAACTCTCGCAGAAGCTTGGCGCACTGCACCCTGCCGTCCTCGACGGCCAGGTGGAGCGCCGTCTTGCTGCCGGTGCCGCTCACCAGGTCCACGTTGGCTCCGTGCTTGAGCAGCAGACCCATGCAGCGGTCGAAGCCGTAGTCCGCGGCCACGTGCAGCGGCGTCTCGCCGCGCGGGTTGGTGCCACTCGTGCGCGCGCCCGCCTTCAGCAGCAGCTCTGCGCAGGTGTACGAGTTGGCGCGCACGGCGTAGTGCAGCGCCGTCTCGTCGCTCGGGTCGAGGCCGGCGTCGACGTCGGCGCCGTTGTCCACCAGGAAGGCGACCGTGTCAGCCGAGCTGACCGCCGCCGCGCAGATCAGTGGCGTCGTCGACTGCCGGCCGTCCAAGGCGTTCACGTTGGCGCCGTACTTCACCAGGCACTTAACCGTGTCCAGGTTGCCCGAGAAAGCGGCCAGGTGAAGGGCCGACCGGCCGTCCGTGTCCGCTGACGACACCAGCACACCTTTCTTCAACATCTTTTTCACCAGCTTCGGCCGCCCGAACAGGCAGCCGGCCAGCATGCCGACCTCCTCCTCGACCAGTGACAGTTCGTCGTCGGCGCACAGCGTCATCAGCTGTTCATTGTCCTCCTGCTTGACCGCCTCCAAGATCCGGAGCGAGCAGCCTGCCAGACGCAGCATTTGCTTCAGGTTGTTCTCCAGGTCCTGTGGCTGCCAGAGGGAGCGGAACTTGTCCCAACGGCGGGCGCCGACCGACGGCTGCTCCTGCAGCATCTCCTGCAGCTCCTGCAGCTCGAAGTCGGCCATGGAGCCGGTGGACTGCGCCGCGCTGAACTCCTGGTCGGCCTTGCGCCGGCGCTCTGACCCGTGCAGCAGGTGGCGCAGCCGGACGGTGGCGTTCAGCCGCGAGCGACCCAGCCGCGTGTCGCCCTCCTCCATGCTGCGCACCACCGGCGCCGCGTCCAGCTCGACGCGCCGCAGCGGCAGACGCAGCGACAGCGGCATGGCGGGCGCCTACCGCACCTGCAACGGTGGACACAGCTGGGTGAGAGGCCGGACGGAGGCAGGCGCGCGAGGTCTGGGGTGGCGAGGAGTGGGGTGGTCAGGAGCGGTGACCAAGCGACAGCGGCGCCCCCCCCCCCCCTGGAGCCATGCGATACGCACACAGGCCGGTGGAAGCCGTACGGCGCGACCCGGCACCGTCGCCGACTGACTGATGTCGCCACCAGAGAATCGCGCCACGCACCTGGCACGACGCTAATGAAATGAGACTGGGAGACGGTGAGTTTGGATATGTTTGGTACACTCTTTGACATGCGTCCATTGCAACCAACCACTGACGGATTAACATTAACGTGATCTACATAACTGCTGACGCCTTTTGATTACACCGGCGCGCCAAGCTGGAAATTGCCCGCCTCAGCTCGCCTGCCTGATGGCGTATTTCCGGTTGAATTACTGTACGCTATGTTTGTGAGCCTATGTACTGGGTCTGACTGTACGAATCGCTTCGTGCCAGGGGCGTGGTTTCAAATTCAGTTGGGGCCCCGGCGCCCCCCCCCCCCTCCCTTTCCTCACCCACTCTCAACTTTGAACAGAAAGTGAGTCAAATGCGAGGAGAAACCCAATTTTTGCAGATTTTCCTCGGACTTGCTTTCCAAAACCCCACCCCGTTTCATGGTTCATGTAGTTATCCTAACAGTCAATGCAATGAAAACGGACAACCCGGGTCAACTGTAAAACTAACGTTCCTAGTCCACTGATTGTCCAGGTCGCTTACAACTCCCAGAGATATAACTTTGATCCTTATATCAGGCTCCAGATATGCCTCCAACCCAATTATATACAGTTTACGGGGGTTTATATGTCATCAGATATTCTGATGCCGCCTTTGATGGCTTGTTGAGCAGCCCTCTAGCTGTGCTTTGTAGTACCCTTTGTAGTACCCAGGCTTTGGACCCGGGTACTGATTTTGCCTATCCTCCACAACTCTTTGCAGACGCCCACACCGAAGTCCCCAGAAACAAACAGAAACGCATCTACACAACACAGCGAACAATTTGTGGCCGATACCCACGCTTCGCTCGCAAGGGGCTCTTTCCCAGCTTTGGAAAGAACGCGTACAGCTTTGCGCCAACGCGGGTTTATTTATGAGGTGCCAGCAGCCGAGCGCGGGCTATTACATGGGTTATCGCGGCGGAGCCCGTCAAAGAGCTCGTCTGTGTCACGTGTAGACCGCCGTCACTAGCGCTGAGCGACGAACGGCGCCGGGGAGGCCGCTCGATGAACGTCGCAGTTCTCCGCTGACAGAGTGTGGTGCCGCTTCTTTTGAGTGCGGTTGGGCAGGTCGGGAAGCGTGACCGGGTACGACAGTGACCTTCCACGTAGACTAGATGGGTCGCGCGCTCCAGGTCCCGGCGGTGCACCCCTACAGTGAGTCTTAAGCATGGCGGACGGCCAGGAGCTTGTGATCCCACGCCATGAGATTCAGGCGCTCTGACAGAAGTTCAACGGAACAAGCACAACATTCCAAGTAACAAACAGTCATAAAGGTCACAGACAGCCGTGCGGACCGCAGTGCGCGGGTCTGTGCGTGGGCGGACGGACGCATGCACGAACCGGGACCTACGAGCACGTATGCGGGTCGCGACCTACGGACACATGAGCGGGTCGGGACCTACGGACACATGTGCGGGTCGAGACCTACGGACACATGTGCGGTCGAGACACATGGACACGTCATCGGGCCAGGACGGAACCATCGCTGCAGGCGCATTAGTCGCGGTCCGTGGCGTGTTCGACTACGCGGTCGAGTTGGTGATGCGTGGCGCAGCGCGTGACGCGCCGACAGCGGACCGGACAGCGGACAGCGACCATGCCCGCCGGCCCAAGGTCAGCTCGTGGAGGCCTTCGGCACACTGAGCGGGGCGGACTCAGCAGAGGAACGCCCGCACCGTGGCCTCGGCTGGATGGTGTTACGACTGCCTGAATTGAAGTACCCTTCGTGTTGCGGACGAGGGCTCAGTAATGTGAGTGGGTGGAGCAGTCGGCCGAAATTGACTGCGGAGACTAACAATTCCAAGCGTTAGAAAACGTGCGTCAATTCGTCTAGGATACCAGGAAACGAGATGGGATCAATTCATGCGGTGACATGGTAGGCATGGATGTGCACACATCGCCCAGATAAAAAGCCAGACTGATGAATTTGGTAGCGTCAGTGTCGGGCTGCATGACAACAAACACCATTACGAGCAGGGGTATTTATTTGTATCCTTATTTGAGGACCCTGCCCCAATGCTGGTTTGCCCCCTAAATCCAGGCTGGGGCATTATAACATCGAGGAAAAGCTAAAACAACACGTGGAAGGTACCGCAGTGTCGAGCCCTTGGCTCGACCCCTGACCCTCCCAAACATTTGCATGAGTAGATCGTCCTGATCTGAAGGTAAAGCAAAAAAGAAGAAGAGGTTGAGACCGTCACGGCTGAGCTCTAAGGAGCCAAGAGGGAATTCAAGATGCTGCACCACCAGGTGAACGAAGGTGAACACCGGGTGAAGGAGAGCAAGGGTGTCAGTCGTCTACCGTCGATGGTGTTCCCAGACGTCCCGTCCGTGAGCCAACCCACGGACTCCAGTAGCCCGGAGTCAGAAGAGGTGAAGAAGGTGGTGCTTTCCTTGGTGCATCCCCAAAGAACTTTCGGGGCCTGGACATTAAAGCGGGCGACAGCGGTAGAGTGCACCGGCAGCAGAGTAGCAGGTAATTTGCCACTTTTACAGAATACAACTCAAAAGTACGCATCCAAGCAAATGGCGTTACCAGCACGGTCGGCAAGGTGCTTTCAAACTGCTCATCCTCAAAAAGGCCCACAGGCTTCAACCGGTGTTATCCGCAGCGATCACGTGTCCCGTGCGAAAGAAAAACCAGTGGTGTGATCTAATGATACTATTTGGGATGTGCATATTCTTTGCGAGAGACGAAAACCCACGATAGACACGCTGAGGTGATACAAACCGAATGTTGAGTTTTTTGACAGCACGACCGGCCGGCGCTTGGTGACCGGTGCATGGCCGGTGGTCGGGGCTGGACCGGTGCTTGAGTGCCGCTCGTGTACCACGTTAGTGCATCTGCAAGTTCATGTGCCTTCCTGTCGCGCACACGTACTATTTTCAATGAAGTGATGCCTGCTTTGTATAAGATTTGTTCAGCGTTACCTTACGCTGGTGTGGGCGCGAATCCTGCATTGTTTACTGGCAAGTGTTGAGCCGAGACAAGGCGGTCTTACGGTCTCCCGTGTCCCAGTGTTCAATGCCACCGAGCGATATCTTCGCACGACCCATGGCTGCCACATGTGCGTGTGCCTCCCATCAGTATCTCACTCGGCCACTAGTTATCCTGCGAACCATATTGCACAAGACGTTTGGAAGAACATGCTGCTACCTGCTTTCAACGGCCAAGCTCGTTAGTCATTGTTCCAGCTCAGCGATTGGAAGTGTCGGCAGCCTGTAACTTGGGCTTGCGGAAAAGTATCTGTCAGACTTATCCGCAAACATCGACAACGTTCCAGAGCAGAAGGGCACGACCCCAGATTTCCGTCTGCTATTTGAGTCTGCGTTTACGTACGTCAGCGATCGGGTTCATCGGACCACCCAAACTTCCTGCGCTGTATTTGTCGTTGGTTCCGTTTGCTTATCGGAGCCAGCAGGCCGCCGTCTGCAAGGAGCGCCGTCTGTCAGCAAGCTCCTGGAGATGACAATGGCCGATGCGAAACCCAGCAATGTGCTGTCTCCTGCATCTTACTCATAATCCATACCAATGCATTCCTAACCAGCTGACGCTGTTGTCAAAGCGACTCGAAGCGCTGAGTTTCTGGAGAATCACGCTGTAGAAAGAGACATATTATGGGCACAGGAACAAGCGTCGAATGCTGAAGTTCTCGCTAATGCCTAACTATAATCGGCTCCGGGATTCCTGCGGACGTCGTTAGCTCTGCTGTACGCCGACGCGAATCTCGCAGCGTGCTTATTACCAACGCTTGATACTGGTGGCGGGCTATTGAAGAAAGGGAAGGAAACTTTACCGATTCGACTCAGCGTGTACGCAAGCCCGATCTTCTATGCCCTTTGGTATTTAACGTAATCGGGTCACATGCGCATGGATCACGTACTCCTGCCCATCTGTTCAGAGATAGGAGACCAAAACAAGCAAAGGTACCAGCCATATGTACCCGACGTCACCAGTTGAAATGGCAGATGAAGGACCATCGGGCGGCATGTCAGACCGGTGTTAGCTCACAAGACCAGCTTGTTAAAGTCCTATTTTCGGAACTTATTTTTCAAAAGGCCTGGGAACAAGAAGGATATTTTCAGAACGCCCTGTCTCTCACCCATTTTCAAAAGAGCTGTTTAAGGCCCATTTTCAGAAGGTTCTTTTCCCTCCGAGTGTAGTGAAGGTGGCCCAATTTCCCTTTGAGTGTCTTGCGTTTCGAGAGTACGCCTTTCAATCAGAAGGCCTATTCACGCAATACTTATTTTTTAATAAGACCCACGTTGAGAAGCCCTACGTTTAGGAAGCATTCGCTCCGAGGCCCTCCTTTCCGAAAACCTAGTTTTGGCAGGTCTACTTATACCAGGCTTGTGTTCTGAAGGGCTTTTTCTATAAACCCAATGTAGAGAGGTCCTATCTGCACAAAGCTTGTGAGGGCAAAGGTTTGGGTGATACTAATATTTTTAAAGAGGTCTCTTGCCAAGTAACGCGTAAGCGTATTCTCAAAAGTTTGCGAACCTTGGAGGGGCGGCGTCACCTCCGTTTTCTTTCTGACGAGCCCATGCAAGCAAGCGTTCAGAACTAAGGTTTGTGAAAGTAAGCCTTATGAACACATGCCCAGCGCGAATAGGCCTGAAGCACGCAGAAGCTTTTCCGGACGGAGGCCTTCAGAAGGTAAGCCTTTTGAAAATAGGTCCCCTTGCCGCCTTCTAAATGTAGACCCTCCACAAAAACGTCCTGTGAACGTGGACATTGGGAAAAC